AATCCCTCATACCCGCTAGAGAACTTTTCACTTAGGAACTCATGTTTTTTAAAGAATGCCAGTGAAAATGTCCAGCCATTTGCTCATCAAATTTCTTCCTATCTGAGGCGTATGCAAAAAAGAAAAAAAATCGCCGTTTCCCGGCGCACAATTACATAACTTTCTCTTATTAAGAAATACCTTCTTAAGGACGAGAAAATAATGAAAATCCTATTGTTCAGTCGACAACAATCACGTCTCTTTAACGAGGTAGCAAGTAAAATATTTCCATATTACAGAAGATTCCTAGCTAATTCATGAAGATACAAGAATATATTGTGGATATTTAATCGTTGTTTTTTTAAAAAGCTACTAGTCGCTATGGCGAGGCTTATAATTCGAATATTAGATCTCAAACAGCTGGGTAAAAATTAAATTTGTTAAAAAAATAAATTAAACATGTTTGCTAATGCAAATATCGTATCGCTCATATTCTTCGTAGTTAACACAACAAAATTGAGTGAAAAAAAGTTTTAGACCAAATATTTCTTGAAGAGTCACTGCATGTGGTAATTCTACCTATTAATTAGCCTGTAATTTTTATTTTTAGCTGCACATGAGATGGCTGAAGAAAGGCATTTCTAATTATTGTGCAATCTGTAACGAAGAAGTAAATTGTAGATAAAGAAAAACAATTGCCGCCAATCTCATAATTTTCTGACTCTGAAATCGCATTTAAAAACCCTCACCTGCTACAGCTAAAAGAAGACAACGATAAAAACGTCAACCTTGTACTCGAACGGCAATATATTCTCTTCTTTGCTTCAGCACGGAAACAAACGGCAACAATTTCCAAGAGAAGGGTGAAACATGCTGTAAACGTCGCACGGGACCATTGTGGACTCTGCTTTTAATATCCGCCTGGCAATGCCAGTCAACTGGAACTGACTGGACATGTCGAAAGGACGCGTTTTCCGTTCCATTATGTCTGCGCGTCTTTCATAGGGCAGGTGTTTTCTTCTTCGGCGAAGGACAACAAAAGCAAATGGCGACGACGAAGGCGGCGGTGGCGGCGACCACTGTGTCGCCGGTCCGAAGGGCGCCGCCGTGGATGTCGGAGTCAGGCGACCCGGCCGCTGAGCCGCTCGACCGATTCGTCTCAGCCGCGACGCGTCGCGTCGCGTCGTGGCGGGTCGCCGCCGCCGCCGCCAACCGGACTCGCGACCGCGGCCAGGCGCTGCGGCGCACAGTGGGACACTTTGCGCCAAACGTTGGTCAAAACACGTCTTCGATTTTGATTGATTGATTGTATAGTGATTATGGACACATTAACTACCAGGGTCATTAGTCCTGTAAGTGTAATGCATGTTTATTGGTATGGAGGTGGCGGTGGTCTTTACCACGCTTGTGTCGTGATCCGGCGCCGACCTACCGTCGAGTAGCCGGGTTTTCCCAACCAGATATCTCCCACCTACGGGGCACCGCCCCAGACGGGAGTAGCTCTGAGTTCCCGACGGCTCCCCTGGCATTTATGGTAGTGTAATGCATGTTAGTGTACGTGAGGGGTGAGAATAAGACAAGGAAGAGTAAGGTGAGATCGCGCGCGGTCCGTGACCCGTTTGAATTTGAACCCACTAGAATTTTCCTCCAGACAGCGACTAAATTCGACCTAGCTAAGAAGCTAGTGTCGAAAATCCTGCCTCGGGACTAGAACCTAGAACCTCTCGTTCAGAGGGACTGCAGAGATATCAGTTGATGCCCTGACCTATCTCTTCCGGTCAATTCTTGGTAATGTTCAAAGATATTAAATATTTTCGTGTGAATGAAAAGTATTAGTTTTATTTCTGTGGGTCGAAGGTATAGAACACTATGTCACATTTACTAAATTGTACAGGAGAGGGGTTTGAAGATGTTTTACTTTGGAATTTTTTCGTTAAAAGCACACCGTATCTCCACCAATTCTTGATGTAAGAAGTAGTGTTGTACACCTGTAGTTTGAGTACGAGAAACCCATATGTTTGTGTCAATAATCTCAGTTTGGACAGAAGTGGACGTAGTATCCTGTACTTCCGAACTACTTATTTATTTGCCTATTTATTGATGTATTTATTTAATTTATTTATGAATAAATTTACCATCAATTCATGTTACTTTATTTTACATATAGTACAAAAGTATAGTCGTTTTCGTGACTTAACACCTAATTTAGTCATATCCTATTATTGCTAGTCGTCTTATATTAGGTTTTGTAAAATATCTCTCTCATTTACATAATAATTCCATTGTCTGATTGTTTCTGTTTCTCTTATTTTCTTTTTCTTGGTATGCGTACCTAAATTTTCGTAGTTTCTCGGTCACCTTCCCTAATCAGTTTTGCGTATGCGCCTTTTCCAATGTAGATGTTTATCCTCTGTTGTATTTATTCTCGAACAAAGTATTGAATTTCAAAAATCTATTAAAACATTACCTATTTCACATTTATTTATATAACTGCCTTTTTGCGAATCTTATGAAGTTTCAATAATACATTTTAGTGACGTCTATTATTTCATTACACTTGTGCTCTTGTACATAGTTTTAAAAGATATACTCGCATTAGCGAACGACTCTTCATCTTCCAAACTCTTGACCAAATAAAAGAATGAGAATATCTAATTTACATTTTGGGAATGAATAAGTATAATGAAAGGCAAGCTTATTTTATCGGAAGGCAGCTGGTTAATGGAGCTGTGATATCCTTTTGGTATAATTCGTGAAACTCATGTTGCTTTTCGCTACGCAGACACATAGATAATTATTTAGTGGCACCCTCTGAATTATGTATCGTCAATGAACAGTACTGCGGTTAATATGATCTTTTATCAAAGTATATTTTGCTTGTTTTGATGGAGGTAGCGTGTAATGGTATAATACGCTTTTATGTCAGTACATAGGTTCTCAACGTTATTGTTATCATTACTAATGTTCTTCTCGCACGTAAACTTATTTTCTGTTACGAATATTTATTGTATAAATATGTTAAGTCATTTGAGATGACAAAACATCAGGACGTGTTGCTGCCACCGAATATTTATGTTTTCCCCTTCTTCTTGAATTGGAGAAACGATAAAACATCTTAGGAGTTTTAAAAATTTCTTTCTAAAAACCATTATCCAGGATTTCAAAAAATAATTATAAATATATCTATGATCAATATCGAAATTATTGAATTTTGGAAGATTTTTCACAGAAATACGTTCAAAGGGGATAAACCAGTTATTTCTTAACTCCAATTAGAAAACCTTACATTAATGTTCTATATTATATTCAAGCTATTGAAAAAATGTTAAAACAGTTGCAATAGGACCGAGATAGCAAACGTTTGTGCGTTTGTCACGTTTTCTGGCACTTTCAGAATAAATATTTCTGAGATTTACGAGGCGAGCAAGTACACTGACTCGACATATACTCGTGATATAACTAGACAATGGGCATGTAAGAATATTGAGTACCTGATAATTCTAGGACTAACTTAAACAATTAGTTTAGAGATTCGCGACGAAAGCAAATGGCTGAAGCTTTTCCTGCCAGGGTGCGAATTGACAATTTTCTCCAAGGGGTGAATGGGGTGATCGATTGTGCAGGGGAAGGGGAAGCGACGAATTGACGAGTGAAGCGACGACCTTCGTTTGCGTTCGCGGCACGGTCTGAATATATTCTAAGAATACTCTTCAGCAAGTCCTCTTTTTCAATTTCCTTGTATTGAACTTTTCAAAGCGTGGGACTCACGAGGCACTTAGACATGGAGTAATGTTGTCCATGGCAGGGACAAATTAATACTTTTCCCTAAGGGGCATCAATTATTGTAGGGGAGGGATTGAACCCCGGCATCACCCCCTACCCCGTCAATTGGCACCCTGGCCCCTGACAGGTGGCTAACTTTATCTTTCTCGGAGCTATTCACCAATCACGTCGGGAGACCAGTCGGGAGATCAGAGCTTATTCCTGGTAGGGGCAATGCCCTATTGGGAAGATTTGTGGAGGTGAGAAAACTCGCCGGCTTTAAGTCGCCTCCGGCTCCCACAAACCAGCGAGAGGGGAACTGAGTCCCGGATATAACGTACAATATTAACCAATGGCCTAATGACCAGAGTAGTAGACGTCGCCGGTGTAGACCAGAGTAGTGAGCGCTTTGTGGCCGTCCAGAGCGGAGGGCGCGCCCACTGCCGGGGAGCGCCTGCTGCGGGGGCTGCAGGGCATGCGGACGTGCTGCTCACCTGGGCTGCTGGTGCTGCCGCGGGGTCCTTTGAGCCGCGCCGTAGGGGGGCGCGTGAGGGCGGGCAAGGG